ACGGATCAAGTTTTCGGTCGTATTATGCGCACACATTGTGCAGAATTACACGTGGGAATTGATTCGTTAAATCTATACTCCGTGTAATGATCAGCGCGGCGTGAAATTAGCGCGGGATCGTAATTAAATTAATAACCGGATTACGCCGCGTTGATCCTATAATTATCGTTTACACGCGATAAGGTTTAAAAGCCCGCTCCAGGAAATCGATGTAATGTGTTGCGATCCCGTTGGGGAGGCGATCTGTAATTAATATTCAATTACCTTTAACATATTGCAAGATTAGACGCCCCTGCTCTCTCTCTTAATTTTGCATTCTTCCTTCCGATAAATGCATAAACAGGGTTACTACAATTATAAATTACGCAGAAGCTTTGTAGTAATTACGACCAAATATTTTTCTCCATCCGCCTATAATTTTATAGCATTATGGTATTAATAATTATTCGCCCGCGTCCACGTATACGCCCGCAGTGACTAATGAATTAATATTAAATTATGTGCACATTAATTTTATTAAATTATAAACGTTTTATAAATAACGCGATTGCACGCGTCCTCGTAAGATTTTTACTCTTGCTACGACACATCTGTTTAATAAATGTAGGTATTATTAAAATTGTAAATATGTTATTAAAAATTGTTTATTTAACTCATCGGATTTTGTTATCTTAACGCGGTTTAATAATTTAAAAACGTAATGTCCGTGCGTGCTATTAAATTCTATTTAAAAAATTAATTTGTCGGCCAGTGCGGCGAAACGTAGGGAAATTATGTAAACAAAAACGGCAAAAGGATTTCGAAATCAAAATGAAAAAATATTCGCCGCGCATTTTACATACAAAAATATTAAAAGTCGAATATGCGCATAATATTCCACGTGAATTTGTGTGCTACCGGAGCTGCAAAATGCGAAGTAAACTGTTTTTTCCAACCCCCCCTTCTTTTTTTACCTGTCTCGGAAATTTACTGTCGCTGAATCGTGGAGGTGCGACAACGATAACGTCGCGCGATGCAAAGATCGCGCGGATGGGAAAACATACGCGGTAGGCTCTCGCCATTCAATATTCGAAATAGAATTTAATGTGCAACGGAGAAAGACAGAAACGGGGATGGAAGGTGGCGATAACATGCCGGGAGTCGCTCTTCAGCCCCCGATAAATCATCCCCCGCCATGTTTAATGCAGCTTTTTCAATTGTCCTCGGGGTTACGTATTCACATCGTAATTCCTTCGGCTATACCGATTTACGGCCCGAAGATGTACCGATATCCACCTCAATGGAACACATCGAATCTCTTTGCGTCGTAACTTTACATTTCTAATTAAAATGAAATAGAATAATAACGAGGCGTTGATTTAATAGCGTATTCTATTAATTCAAAGATTCTTTAGAGATTCCTTAAAATTATACAAAATAATATTATAAATAAATTTATAGATTCTCTTAATACTACGCTGAACAAAGAAATCCGGTAGATTCCACCAGTTATCTGTTAAAAAATGGACGAATCAGAATTCCTTTAGGATTTACTAGATGTATAGTGAAGTCTATCAAACTTCTGGTTATGGAGTAGCGAGAACTAAAAATTCTGGTTTAACCAAAATACGTTCCATCGTACATATCTTGTTGATACAATCGAAGCGTTTTTCTCAGCTACACATTAATACACTGAGAAAATTTTCCATCGGATAAACCGATTAAATAGCGTTTCTGACGGCTAAATTTTCCGATTACGTTTACCGATTAAATTACGAATACATCCGATGAAATTTATCCGATGAAATGCAGTTATCGATGAAATTTCGATAAAAACCGATTACATTTTTCATTATCCGTTTGTCATTATGTAATTGGATTATCCGATTACATTTAATCGGACATTTTTCTCAGTGTGGAAATCAAATTGCACAATGACAATTAATATTTAATCGTCGCATTCCGAAGTTCCTGAATCTAAATCAACCTGCCGGCGTGAATCGGACAACCAGGTACAGCAACAAAATCTTTTTTCGGGATTAGCGTGTAGAAAATAACGGCGAAAGAGCGCGAAGGCGGGCCAACGAGCGGGATGGAGAGGATTGCGCGAATTCCGCGGCTGCAAAGCGATTTATGGGAAACGAACGCGGGCTATAAAATAACACTTCCCATTCAAATCGGCAAATTAATGGTCGCTTTCGTGGATTCTTTGTTTGGGGCGGCGCGACAATGGCGGCGCTTGCTGAGTTATTATCCTGAAATACTACAAAATTTCAGGAACGACGATCTTGGCGAATTCCCGTCCGTTTCGGCAGATAATTTTCTAGCCGTGGCGATTTTTTCCGGGGACCTGGGCTTGTTCGCGAGTCGAGGCCGGATTATATCGCGCGCCGCCACGTCCGAAATTGAATTGATGTTATACTTTTGGAGCATCCGGCCGCCCCCTGGAGCAGCAAAGATTGATCGGCTTGCCTAGGCTTCGAAACTATTATCTAGTTTAGATACTTAAGTCCGCGCGGAAAGTTACTCCCCGCGAGCTTTAATCTCTCTAAGCACGAGGTGATTATAAAGTTTCTTATTAAGTTCCCGTGTAGCACCACCACACGCGTACCCCGCGCCGCCACTGCAATACACGGGTGAAAAACTTTGCCCGGCACTTGGGCTATATGTAACTCTCAACAAGGAGAAGAAAATGCGAAAGTGCCCGCCGTAGTATTAGAACATGTTTCCTCCTCCGCGCGAAACGTTATATTGGAAAGAAGAGGGAGCGCATTTACATTTAAACGCCGGAGCAGGTTTGGACAGTTTAAATATCGTTTCTCGCAGTGGTGAAGCTCGCTTTATTACGTATTCCGCATTCTGCTATACGCTTTAATCTATTTCGTAATTATTTTCCTATTTCTCATCCCTTTGCTCCCGCCGCGTTCTATTTCACGTTTACTTTAAGAACTCGCGAGCCGCGCGCAGGTCTGTTGAGTCCCCGCACATCGCGATTAAATCTTCCATTTTTACATTTTCCATAATATCTATTCTTCGGCTTTCCTTTATCAAGAGTCACAGAATCCTAATCCCATCTTTTATATATATATAAAAAAAACCTACGACATGTAACGCATGCATCATCTTGACGTCAACATGCTCCGCTTCGTATTTATCCGACATTAAAGAGACTCGTGCAAGCTTGATATCCCGCGTCGGGATTAATGCACTCGCGGAAAATATGGCGAGAGCACTCGTCGTCGGGAAACGTCGATGAAAGGAAGAAGAAGAATTGACGCGAATTTCTTCGGCCGCGTCCGTTATGCAGAAGAAAGCGAGAAAAGAAGCGCGCACAAAGGGGCCCCGCCGTCTTTGAGCCCCTTTCCGCGGGATCGCCGGGATAATTGGCTGATTTAACGAGATCACATTCACGGGGCGCAGGGATTCGTGCCGCGGTGAGAGAGAGGCGCGCATTCTTCCTACGGCGGGGTGACTTCCGTTAGGAAATGCGCGCGATTATCTCAAAATATCGCCGGCCGTCGCGATTTAACTGCGAAAAAGGTAAATTCCTGGGGGATGTTGACATTTAATTTAATCAGTGATCCCGCAGCCTCTTTTCGCTCGATCCACGAAAGAAGTCGCCGACGAATCTTCCGGTACCACGCGGTGTCTTTGGTCCCACGGCGTGCAAGTGTAGCGTTTGGACGCGGCACTTTACGCGACACGCGTGTTTAAAAGCGCAATGACATGTTAAATTCGCGAATTACGTTGATTCGTGGGAAAGGAAGATCGCGATTTAACCGCGAAAAAGGTAAAGTCCTGGGGGATGTTGACGTTTAATTTAATCAGTGATCCTCCAGTCTCTTTCCGCTCGATCGACGGGAGAAGTCGCCGACGATCTTTCGGTGCCTCGCGGTGTCTTTGCTCCCACAGAGTGCAAGTATAGCATTTGGACGCGGCACTTAACGCGACACGCGTGTTTAAAAGCGCAATTGCATGTTAAATGCGCGAGTTGATTCGTGGGAAAGGAAGATCGTTAACTTCCGCCGGAAGCGGTGATATCACTCGCTTTCACGGTCACAAAAGCGTGAGCTTGGCGCTCGGACGCGACACTCCGCGCGAAATGGATGTCCATCGCGTATTGTAATTGGACGGAAGTAGCATTTTACCGAATGCGTTTGCTGAAGGCGAATGAGATGCAAAACGGGGTCGGTGCCCCGCAACTTGACTCAATAGCAAACGCCCCAGAGTAACTATTGTGTTGATTACAAGTTTACAAGCGAAATAAAAAAGAGATCGTTATATCGCGTGTTGCGATTTGCACAGGTAAATTGGATATCTGGAAAATAAACTGCGACCAATGCGGGATTATCTGTCCATGGATGGACGCGTTTATCGAATCCCTTTCTGCGGAAAATTGTATACTGATAATAGAACTTTATCCTTCAAATCCTTTTGCGTTTGATTTCCGTCCGAACTGAAATGTAATCTACAGCTTGATTACTAGTTAGATGCGTGTCAAAGGGCGTCGCTTCAAAGCAAATGAATTCCAGTGTGTCCCGTGTTTTTATTCAGTTTTTCATAATAAATACGCGATTGAATGGGAAAATGTTTTTTATGTCCAAACGTGACGGGGAATCGGCTAGATTACCATTTCAAATTTAAGTCGGCATTACGTGACGTTTAGAGGTCTCGTAATATTCTCTAAAATTAGATTTTGCGGCGCAAATATTTCTCAATCTTATCGGTCAGGTTTGTAAATAGCTACCCAACTATATTTTACTTAGAATTCTTCCAACTGTTGATCCCCTGTTAAACATTAATACATGCCTAAGTGGTCGAATTGGTGAGACGCCCGCCTAGAGCGTAGGGAGGTCCAGGTTCCAACCCTGGCCGAGGTAATCTCATTTGCAATAAATTTCTCTAATTAGAATTTGCCAGTTTACAAATTTTCCTGCATGGGTTAAATTTCAATGTTCTCGGGAATTTGAATTCCCCTTTTTCGAAACCGCCGAGGAAGGTAGAAACGAACGGAAGTTTACCTTGGACCGGCGCGTAAATGTTGAGATACAGGCAATCCTCGCTTTGGTTCCTGAGGTAGGGCAGCAGCCGCTTGAGGTACTCTGCCCTGCCCTTGGGCATTTTGTCGCTGAGTTCGGGCAGTTTTTGCGGACAGACCGGTCCGAACTTGTCGGCGACCTTAACGCCCTGCCAAAGGGCACCGGTGACGGGCGGCATGAAACGCAACGAGCCGATCGGCGGCGAGGCGTAGGGCACGCCGCGGAACACCTCGACACCCTCGAGGTATCGATCGAGGGTCACGATCACGCCCGACAGCTCGCCGTACTTAGTCCGGACGATCCTCGAGCTCAGCTCGGCACCGGCGGTCGCCAGGATCAGGCCGAGCAGCGCCAGGACCGACGACGTCATCTTGACACGACCACCGACGTCTTCGGCGTCACCTCCTGCTCCGGCGTCACCTCCGCCGATCACTTTTTCGCCGCGCCGACGTCTCTCATACTCGTCCACCTCGTCCTCGACTATTTCCGCCTTAACCGCCGCCGGAGGTGCGCACGTACGCGAACCGATCCATCTCGTGGCTCCCAGAGGCCTGTCCACCCCCTGGATGCATCAGTCTCCTTCAAAGTGAAGGACAGCTCGATGACTGTTGGGCTTTACTTGACTTAATCAATGTACTTGAGATGGTCTCGACCGGAAGTACAAGTTTATTGTTGTCCGACGGTGGCTCTTTTGATGGCTCAGCTTAAGGAGACGGTCATCTTCGTCCTAGTTGGTAACTTCACTACGAAACTATTGTCTTTAATGTGTGTGCTTGAGCTTAAACGACGTGAAGGAAAACCGATGAAGATGAAGAGTAGATTCGGATAGGATTTTTCCAACGTGTCGATCTTGGTCACGACAGTCTTCGATCACATCTTTTTTTCATCTAAACCACAAGGAGATGATTGCGAGTCGTCCTTATTTTGATGCGACTGACCTAGGGAAGGCCGCAGCTTAATAGACTGAGAGACATCCTGAGTTAAGTCGTCCCGGGAGAGTTGCGGCGACTGTATTTGTTCGATCCTTTCAGCAGTACATTTAATTGGATATTTAGAAATGTTGAACAAGCTCAGTCGTTCCGTCGCCGCGGCGACGAGAACCGGCGCATCCTCCTTATAAACGTCATCGTTATCCTTTACACTTAATTATTATCAGCTTCACGCTATCGGGTTGCAAGTTTTAATGATCTCCGGATTCGCTTCCTCGTCCCGTTGCCTCGCCGAACAATGAAGATTTTCTACACGCAGGCAGGATCGTCGTGAATTTACCATTGGACATCTGGCGAGAACAATGGGAGAATTATTTATTTATACACCAGGAGAGGTAACCGTACACTTTTCCGATGGACCGCGGCGTCCGGATTGGTACCTCCGGTGTCGGGGAAAGAGAGAATCTCTTCCCGATCGGCGTCCACGAGAGCGACCTGTGGTCTCTCAGCGACTCCACACTCGCGCGTCCGTTGATGTAAAAGGGGCTCGCACGCGTCTTATCGTTCACACGAAGACGATCTCGTTTCTGATGGCGTGCTTAATGTATCAAAAAAGATAGAATGCACCGGCTCTAATCACGTTCAGCAGCAGGCCGCCCTTGGAATATTTGCCCACTCGCTTCATCCCGGCGAGAAGGAGGAATAACGTCCTAATCTCTCATTCGAGATCCCTTTGGACGGATTGAGGGTAACGAGAGTCGCGCCCGGCTCTCATCTCGCGACTCATCGAAACGATCGAGAGCGAGACCGACTTCTCGGCGAACGATCTTTGGCTCTTCAGCGTGGACCGATCCAGCCTCCAATTGTTGAAAGGAGAAAGGCGAGACGCGCCGCGCAAAACCGTTATTTGCATGAAAGAATCTCAGATTTTCTCCGCGATCGATAAATGCGGAATTGAAAATCCATTAGCTGCTCCGGCTCGCCGGACGCTTAAAGAGACACGCACAGAGATACGCGGCACCGGTGACGGTGAAATAAAAGAAGCATCCGGGAAGCGCCTCGCTCCCGTTGCGTTACGCGAAGCGCGTCACTCTTATATTTAAACCTTCCAGTGTCTCCACGCGAACGCAGAATGCGAATCTTCCGCCGACGGCACACTCTTGCGACCGAGTCGACGGCTTGAATTTTCAATTAACCCAGTTAGATCGAAATCGCGCACCACTGATCAACAGCGAATTTCCCGCGGATCTCCGGACCCGGTGGCACACGCGGGCAGAAACGAATCTCGGATCATCCTCGATTACATTCCCGCACACCCCCGACCGATCGCTCGCACCGAGTGACGATCTCCGATCATCGGCCACACAACACTGCGACTACGACGATAGTCGCGCGCGATCATCGTTCTTCCCCCGTCGCAGCATCAGGCACTGCACCGTACGGGATTCCTCCGGCGCATAGCTCCGCGACGAGCATCCACCGGCTTCCTCTCTCTCTCTCTCTCCAACCCCTCCCGCTCCCGCCCCCCCCGGCGTCCCGCGCCGGCAACCCCCGTCCGGAGTATTTCTTCAAACTTCGCCCGAGTCGGGAAAATCGTTTCCCGATAAGACCCGATTTATCGGATGCGCCAAAGTAATTTCAAGTTTCGTCGGAATCGCGTCGGACGGACCGTTCCCCGTGTTCTCGCCGGGAGCGCGAGACCACCCCCTCCCCCTTCAACCGCCCCCCCCGCGGCGAAGCTAACGCGAGAGAGGCGCACCGAAAAATCCGCGAGGAAGGTGGTATCGGGGTCGGAAAAGCGGCCGCCCCCGCGTTTCTTCCCTTCGTCAAACTACCCCCCGTCGCGCCGCGGCAGACTAAAGCCACCCTCCCCGACGGCGGGCACCAGCACCGACACCGACGTCGAGCCTGGTGTCGACGCGTCGCGGCGCGAATCCCTCGACCCGGGGTGGGCACGGTATCGCCGCGAAAGGGTGAGAGCGCCGCTGGGACGCCGTGGTACGCGACGAAAACCAACCGAACCGATGTAGCCGACACTTCGACCCCCGACAGACTGGCGTCAGGCGACGACGCTCGCCATCGGCTGCGCATGCCCCGCGCAAACGCTCCGGACTCCGGCACAGGACATGGGCGGAAGTGCACCCCCGGCGTGGTCGATACGGCAGGCGGGATCGATCCTCGAAACCGACCGGCGGGAGTTTGTTGGTTCGAATCCGGGATTCGCGAGTTACGCCATCCCGGGTTTCGCGCTTTCGGGCTCCTCGCATCTCCCGCGGGCTTCGACCGCCGTCTCTTCTTTTTCAGCTATCCATCACTATCGGCGCCCTCGTCTTTAAAGGAGGCGCCTGTGCGTTTCGGTGATTAGGCCGAAAACCACTGCGCTCGTGTATCGAGCGGTTTATCCACCCGTTTTTCCCCCGGCTCGTAATTACTTCTCTTCTCGCAATTTATTGTTATTGTTCTAATGCATAATTATTGATTCGAATGGTTGCTTCTTTGACACGACTCGAAATTACTTCTTTGTCTGCACGTTTCGCCATTCTCTTCTTCATTGTCAAGCTCCGCTATTATTTAAAAGAATGTCTCATTTATGACTGTATATTTTGAGAATACTTAGCTGCGAACATAATTTTTTCTCATTTTTCTACAGTTTGTGGATTATTGACTCTTCTCCCCGCGCTGTTAGCGGCCTGGCGTACAGATTAACGTTAGTCATTTATATATTCACTTGTTCAAAATCTTTACGAGTTTTTTAATTACTCGATTACTTTTCTTCTTACGTAATTACTTCTCCTCTTACAATTTATTGTTATTATTCTAATCCTAATGCATAATTATTGCTTCTTTGACACGATTCGAAATTATTTCTTTGTCTGCACGTTTCGTCTCTCCATTCTCTTCTTCATCGGCAAGCTCCGTTATTATTTAAAAGAATGTTTCATTTATAAGTGTATGCAAACATAATTTTCTCTCATTTCTTTTTATACTTAGTGAATTATTGATTATTCTCATCCCGCTGTTAACAGCCTGGCGCACAAATTACTTAACGCTAGTAATTTACATATTTACTTGTTCTTAATCTTTGCGAGTTTTTCAATTACTTAATTACGTCTCTTCTTACAATTTGTTATTATTCTTCCAATTCCAATGCATAATTATTGATTCAAATGATTGCTCCTTTGACACGATTCGAAATTATTTCTTTGTCTGCGCGTTTCGTCTCTCCATTCTCTCTTCTTCGTTGTCAAGCTCCGTAGTATTATTTAAAATAATCTTTTATTTATAAGTGTATATCTTGAAAATACCTCGTTTCTGCTGCAAATGTAATTTTTTCTAATTTCTTTTACAGTTTATGGATTATTGATTCTTCTCACCACGCTGTTAACAGTTGCCGTACAAATTACTTAACGTTGGTAATTTCTATATTTCCTTGCTTTTAATCTTTACAAGTTGTTTTTAAAATATAACGTAATACGTAATGTAATAACACGTATTTTAAGAGAATGTCAATAAGTACACTCACGGCCATCTTTTAATTTTATTCGTATGTAATATTTAATGAATAAAACGGTCTCATCAGTCTATCGTTATCATTTTAACTAAATTACGTAGCGCGGCTTATTTATTATATTAATTGATAATTTCTATTACTTTATTAATTACACATAAAAGATATTATCATATTAAATTGATTACCGCGGAATATTTCATTCTGCGATTACCCAAAGCAATTTTTATAATAATTTAAAAACACGGCGCATATAAATTACTTTATGAATTTCAAAATAAGCTCGGCCTGAGAAATTAATTAGCCGCGAAAAAAAAACCGGATGAGTTTGTTAGTTCTGTAAATCTCGACAAATTAGTGATTAACTAAATCAATGCAGAATGTAAATGTCAGTCGATAAATAACGACACAATTAATTAGCGGGATTTATTTGACAAGCTCGCTTGCGCGCATAAATCGTGCAATTTTGCAACTCGCAACAAGGAATTCGCGATGGACATTGGAAAATCCGGGGGAAAACGGTGAAATAAAGGAACTTTTTAACGAGAATTTCCGGAAACTGGGCGCAGCTGCGCAAAGAGTTTCTCCTCGCGAAAATTCCCCTTCGTTCCCGCATTCAACAACGCCTTCGCGCTTTACCGTGTAGTTATGCTCGTTAACAAACTCTTTTCCAACGCTGAAGCTATACGAATTATCTCTCGCTGAATTATCTTTCGCCTCCATAAAAATTATATGCGATCGAGCGAATCTTTTGCAACGTCATTCGGCGAAGCGCAGTGTTATACATTCCTTGGTTCCTATCGGGTCGTCCTGTGTTGTCTTATTTAACTTTACGTTACTTTACGTATCATTCCCTCGCATTATTACAATTTGTATTAAGAATTGTAATTTTTTTTATTCCCGGGCTGAAAAAGGTTCAATTTCCTGAGAACCTTTCTATGTTAAAAAATCCGAAACAACTTTCTCGCTAAGGCAGATACGAAGAATAATTGGACGGAGAAGTGGCTAAGGATAAGCTCGGGGAGTGGGAGTGGTTAAATATTTGCAAAGTCAACGTGAGGG